GCAGTTCTCTGCCATTCGCTCGATTAGTTCCCAAACCTCTTGGGTAGTCTTATTCACCAATGCACCTCCACTCGCTGCATCAATGATATTTCTATCGTTCATCAGTAGCCCCTCGTAGAAGTAGTGAATCAGCAGTTGATCACTTATCTGGTGATGAGGACATCGGGTGCGCAGCCTGGTGAACCTCTCCCAATATTCATACAAGGATTCCCCGTGAAATTGTTTGATGCCACATATTTCCTTTCGCAAACTAGCAGCTCTGGATGCAGGGAAATATTTCTCAAAAAAAAATTTCTTCATCTCTGGCCACGTGGTGATAATGCCTGCAGGTAGACAGTATAATCAGTCCTTTGCCGAATCCTTGAGAGAAAAAGGGAAGGCCCTTAATTTAATTTGTTCATCAGTTACTCCCGAAGGCTTCATACTCGAACACACCACATCAAATTCCTGCATGTGTTTGTGGGGTTCCTCTCCTGGCAGACCATGAAAAGTAGGTAACAAATGTATTAGACCAGGTTTTAATTCAAAAGCTGCATTCTCACTAAGGCGAGGAAAAGTTATGCAAAGAGGTTGTTGGCTCAAGTTTGGAGCAGCCAACTCCCTTAATGTTTGTGTGTTTGCCATGGCGACGTTCTCTTGGTACGAATCACTCGAATTTTCGCCACGTAAATCTGTCAACTCAGCCTCTGGATCTAGTCTTTGAGATGCCACACTGGATTGCTCCTCTCTGAGCTGTCTGGTCTCTTTCCTAGTTCGGCGCGCAGTCTTCTCTACTTCAGGATCGAAAATTAGTTCGCCTGTACGAGAAGAACGAGGCATAAACTAGAAAAATACCAGAAAGAAAGCAAAAACAAATTAGATTTAAAAAGGGACAAATAAATAACGCCGGTCCCCGGCAACGGTGCCAAAAATTGACAGGTGTCGAACCTGTGCAATAATAAAAATAGAACCTAACTACCACTAAAAGCAGTCAAAAATTAATCCTAGGTACTGGAGCAGGGACTCTAGGTGTGCAATGGGTTACTTGATTCATCCTGTTTCCGAAGAGTTTGCTTAATCCGATATACCAAAATTAATTAATTGACGAAATTTACTAAATAGTAGACAGTGGCAAGTAGGGTCGTCTTCTCAGGGACTGGAGATATTTGTCTCTTTTAAATTCCAATTGGTAAGAGGGGGATTTCACCGATATGCAACTAAAAACAATTAAACAATCATTACTATATAAAAAGTATGAATGTTGGTATTTGGGAGTGCAAGTGTAAGCACTTTTTTATCTTAGTTTTTGTTATTCCTAAATTACCCTCATGTCTTTTAATTAGAATTATTGCATTTTAAGTGGCACTAATTAAAATAAATAAAACACTTCAATTGATTACATTTTAATGGTATTGGTAAAAAGTATGAATGTTGGTATTAGGGAGTGCAAGTGTAAGCACTTTTTTATCTTAGTTTTTGTTATTCATAAATTACCCTCACGTCTTTTAATTACAATTATTGCATTTTAAGTGGCACTAATTAAAAGAAATAAAACACTTCAATTGATTACATTTTAATGGTATTGGTAATTATAATTAAAAATTACTCATTAAAAACTATTTACCTACCCTTGGACTCCATCTCCTATTATTATAACATATCAAAATTTCTTAATTGAAGCATGAAAAATTTCTCATTAGTCATTAGTTGAGATTGTTAAAAAAAAATTAATTTCAAAAAATAGATATTCTCTAGAAAATGGAGAAACATACAATGACAAGAAAAATCCTTATTCATCTATATATCTTCACACAAATATCATGAGTAAATTTTACAATTATGCACTTTTACCAATATGAAGAATTTTTCACGTTGCACCTAATAAAATTTCAATATACAAAAAATGATGACACTTTTATAAATAAAATAGCAGTATTAAACAAGAAAAAAGAAATCTAAAATAGCACCATACAAACCACTATTATCATTAATAGCAACCGATCAAAACAAGAAAAACTAAAATAAGATTGAAAACTATTTATAAAATGACATAAAATAAATAGCAAATGAATTAAAAAGTTAGAATACAATTCAAATAATACCAAAGACAACATCCAAATCACTGATATCCAAGGGAAGACAAACATTGTTATTGACAATAATATAGTAATATTTCATTTGTATTGGTTTGAACAAACCAAATCCATCCATCAAGTCAGAAACCATCTCCAATGATAAAATAAGAATTATAATAAGAGTAAATATAAAATGAAGAATGATAAAATGAAAATGATATCCAAATTATTTTTGGTGATATCCAAAATACCCTTATTTTTCTAATGATTACATATATTTATTGTATTGCAATATTAGTGACTAATGGAAGCGGTTATGAAATGAAAAACTTTAAAATTAAGTAAATTTCATTTATGGTGACAATTGTAATTAAACAAATTTAATGCATTCCAATAATTGATAATAATGATAGCAGTTATGGATTCAAAGTTGGCAATTAAAAACTAAAACATTGAAATATACAAAAAATTAATATTAAAATTATTAATTAGCCACAATTCTCATTCCAATTTCATGATCATAAAAAAAACTAATATTAAAACCAAAAATATTGTGCTCATATGAAAAAAGTAGACTTGTTGCTCTTGTTTCGCATTGGATTGTGCTAAAAACATGAATAAAAGAAAAGGAAAATAGAAAATCTCCAACTATCTCTATCTATAAAATTTCAATTGTTAGAATGTACAAGCCAAAAAAAATTTACGTGATGGATCATTTATACTCCATTATTGACAAAAATATAATTAACATAATACAAAGAATTCAAATTCAAATTACATTTATGTTTATTTTTCTAACTTAATTATATTCTTCGTTTATAAAAAATTGTGATGATTGTGGTTTATATGCAATAGAGTCATGAATATACAATAATTTTGGTAAAACATGATATTATCAATATTTGGTATGTTAGAGTTCAAGCTATAAATCAAAAAGTGTTTGGTTCATGATTTCAAATTGGGCATATTACATTTTACCCCCCTGTGGTTTAGCATTTTTTTACATAACCCCATATAGTTTCAAAAGCTATACATAACCCACTCATGGTTTGGATTAAAGTGCCAAAGTGACGGAAATAGTCACTCGTTTGGAACTTCTAAAAATGTCGAAATTACCCTTATAAATACGTGGCACATTAACCCCGTATGATTTTTATATTTTACTATATAACCCCCTTATGGTTTAATACTTTACTATATAACCCCCTTATAATTTTCAAAATATACACATAACCCCCCTTAGTTAATAAATATTCAACTTTACATAAGGGTACTTTTAACATTTTAGGTGACTCCGTTACAAATGGTCATTCCCGTCACTTTGACATTTTAATCCAAACCATAAGGGAGTTATGTATAACTTTTGAAACCATAGGAGGATTATGTAAAAAAACGTTAAACCACAGGGGGGTAAAGTAGAATTTGCCCTTTCAAATTCAATCTTAAGGGATATGTCAACTATATTGAAATGTTTTCCGTCTCTTTTCTTTTAATAAAATTTTTAAAAGTAACTAGCTTAAAAAAATAAATAACATAAAAGTACTATATTATGATGTTGATCATCAAAATTTCATAAAAAATTTTAGTATCTAAAAAATAATATATTTTAAGATATTACAATCACGTGCAAAGCACGTGAACTATTACTAGTCCAACTAAAAATAAATAATTAACTAGCACAAATATAGCAGGAATTAAATCAAGAATAAATAAATTCTAGCCAAGGATACAACTACTCAGACACAGTCCATTTATCCGATCATTGATGCAAGAAAGGTTCACTTAATTTATTAATAGGCTAGTTATAGTCGTCGATGAACTCCAACGACTAATTTTTCCTTAATTTATTGATAACCAAGGTACGACCATTGATCACCCCTAACCAGAAAATACTCTTAGGTACGACCGTAGGAATCAATTTCCCAATTGCATTAATAACTAGAAAAACCTAGCCCAAATCAATAACACGCTACGAGGGTTATTTAAATTAGATTGCACGTCCCCCTAATGTGTAAACACACCAGTTGCCACTAATATTAATCAATCAAACAATTACGAATTTAATTGACTAAATTGGCACGAGATTAATAAATTACATTGAACATCGGGCCCTTGACATCCAATTAATAAAATAATCCCAAGAAAATTCAAGCAGACAACGTGCAAATATTAATAAACTGAGGAACGTGTGAAAACTAATTAGATCTCACAGATTTTCGGGACTGCGCCGTCGAGTTGACCCTTGACTAGATGGAAGGCTTAGCCACGCCGCATAATTAAATCACCATACGAATTAATGGATTGCAAAGGCATTGCGTGTTTACTAGAAAGTAAGGAATAAAAGATGTTTTTCCCGTTGGGGAATATTGTCGAACACCTGGCGTGTGTCAGAGGTTAGTCAAAAGAAAGAAACTAGAACTAACTAAAAGCTAAAACTCAAAAGCCCCCCTTTTGCTTCTGTACGTTGTCCCTTTTAAAGAGCCAAAAGAAAGATGACTAAAAGCTATCTAGGTGGTCCCCACACATGTGGACAAAGCCTCCAAATTACTTCTTGTTCCAAGTCTCTCTACGTTGCTTTCTTTGAAGAGCCTAAATGACTAAAAATCTTTCACTAGCTTTGTGGTCCCCCACCAATTCAAGGGCCCAAGGATTGAAGCCCTTAGAAGTCTCCATTTTCTCCATAAAGTCCCTCCTTTTTGGTAGTTTTCTGTTTCATTCCTGAAATTAAGTCCAGATACCAAATATAAGTAGATATCAACAATTAACGCAATATTGGGCAGGGATAAAAGGGGAAATTGATAATAAAATTACTAACAAATGATACCCTATCAATGATTCAGTTAACCCAAGAAAATCTCGCTCATTTTGGTCACTGAAACAAATATGCAACAAAAGCTTTGATGGTAAAGGTTATGAAATATTTTGCTTATTCATGATAATATTTACCTATAACTTTCAATCGTGATAAAGAGGAAGAAAGGGCCGACTCTGCATCCAACTTGGCACTTGGCATACCTACTCTGTTGTTGTTCCAATAATCAGTTGATATACTTTCAAGGCAAGAAAGACTTTCAAAAGTAAAGTCATCCCAAACAAAACTCAGACTCAGGACTTCACATAGCAAATCACGAGGCGAACAGGAAATTGCATGACATTTTTGTTTAGTCAATTATTCAGAAAGCTAAATCAGTATCTGTTTGTTTTTGTTGTTCATTTCTAACCTAAATCAGTAAGCAGATATCAAATCTTTCTATTCAGTCCACAAGTACCAGAAGTATCATAGAAACTATATTGGTTTTTGTTCAAAACACTGAAAAAAAAGAAAGTTCTATAACAATAATGACTGGCATCCACAAGCATGAGAGGCAGAGAGCCCCAGAATTGCCTTGAAAGCGAACTCTTTGAGACTGCAAGATGCAACAGGTAGAGCTAATCACAACTATTTTACTCTTAAAATCTCATATCATCGCATTTGAACTTAAGACTTCAGTAGAGGATGGTCTACCAAGTCTCTGCTGCTTGAAAACATCTTAAACGCGCGTGACAATTTTTTAAGCTTTTAGCTAATGCATTGGTTATTAAAGTGCTTAAAACCCAACAATAAGTAATGGAAGAAGATTGTTGGTATTATAAATTATCAGACCACCAATCCCACAACCAAGGACAGTGAGAGTAACTCGATTGACCATTGGATTTAGGTCAAGAGATCATAGCTGAAGAAAGTAGAATCCCATCATTTAAGAGACATAATAAGAATACCAATAATCAGATAATTTGGAGCAAGATGATAAATACATTTCCAAGAGATGGAAGTTCAGAGCAAGCATTTCCATCCCGGTAGAATCTCAAGTTTAAAGAGAATTAGCTCCTTTCAGCAATCATGATATACAACTGGAAGTAGCAGACATATGAGATGAGCAAAAGTAAACAGCTATTTTTTATTTAAAACAAAGAATTTTGTACTGTAGATGTAAATACAAAAAGTTTTCAGCTTTGACATCATGTTTAACTGTCCACATCAAATAATCTCCTCTTGAACATCTGTATTCCATAATTGAATTTAATATATGGTTAGCGATATTGTTTTCTTCCCGGAACAACGCTTGTTGAGTTTTTCTGAATCAGACTGAAAAGGCCAAGAAAAGTTCAACAAAGCAGACAACTGACCTTACTGTTACATTACTAGACAACATCTTGGAAGCAGACGTTTTAAACCTTCAGATAGTTTACAACAAAATCATCTTATTGTACAATTTCTATCACCTGATATTGGATAGATTTAAAAGGATTTAGTAATGATTTTACTGGAGTATATTGTCCTGAAGAAACAAAAAACTAGAAATTGACCCCTAAAATCTTTGTCCATCATTGCCTATCTATAATTTTCTGTGTTCCATCAAACTTTGATTTAACAATCTATTTCATGAATGTAAACGCATTTTCATTCTTTTTTAGCAAATTGATAACCAAATGAACTTTTAGAGTGCTTAGTTGGATGAGGAGCTTTTAGATTGAAAATCTCAGGAAGGCATGTTTGCCTGCATTACAATAAAGATAGAAGAGCATATTCCATGTCATTTTTGACTAGGAATCTTACAGAAAGAAAGGTTTTTGTTTTTTTTTTTTGTTACCTTTGTTCTAAAACTAATGAGCAGGAAATAAGACTCGATACTAAGTACATCTACTAATCCATTTACAACAAATTCGCTAACCTTACAGTACTTCTTGAAAATTTGCAAGCTCCTCATTGTCAATCTGTTTCTTTGATACAAGCTCTATCGCCAACCATACCCCCCATGATCATTAGCAGAAATTCATGGTAATGATGGCTTTTGATCATGAAAGACATTACATAAGCTGGGGAAAGAAATTCTGGTGGGCAATTTGTAGAGGCCAGCTGACACAGATAGAGCATTTTTTCAGGTTTTACACATTAGGAAGAAAGAAAAGTGTGCTTGTAGTGTGCCATCCTAATCATTTCTGTCCAATTGAAACAGGATTTGATTCAACAAAGTTTTCAAAAGTTACAAGCTGTGTAATTCAATCAATAAGTAAGTGCAATTGTAGATTCTAGTTCACATTTGAGCCTGAAATCATTGCAGAACAGAAAACTCGAGTTGAGACAATATGTGAACAAGAAAGTTCAGAAATTTCAGCAATAATTTTGTTCTGTCATTCCTACAAAAGGCTAAAATATGCCTTGTTTGTTATGAAACTAAATAGATAAGCAAGTACTAAGTCGTGTTTACAATTACAGTAGTTTGGTTCCAACCACAAAGCAAGTGATTACAACTCATAAAATGAAAATAATAATGGACAATTTGTAGTGCGGGCAAAGCATTTCACATTGAGGCATTGAGAAACAATAGAGCTGTGGGCCACTGAGGCACAATAGAGATCCACGTTTAATTGCTACCAAAACACCAGTTAGTTCTAACCTCTAACTCTGAGCAGTATGCTAGAGATGACAATTTGAGTTCTAAAACATGTAAATCAGCTCCTCATTATCATGACTACACATCACTGAATCATTTCGATAGTTTAAAAGAACCATACCCCAATAGAAATCTCAGACTTTGACCATCTGAGGCACAGAGGAAAAGAGAATGCCATCCTAGATGTTGCTATTCAGCCGAAGCAGGATCTTGTTCTGCAACGAATTGTAGGACTTTCAAAAAGTAAAGACAGTAGGTAAGAGCCATCGATGAGGTTCCCTGTTGAGGTTTGTGCCCAAAATCACTGCAAAGCACAAAAACTCAAACTGAAGGCGGCAAATAGCATAGAATAAAACTAATGGAAATTTTCAGATAATTGTAGTTTTTCTGTCATTGTAATTGAAGCCCCAGAAGGAGAAACTTACCTTAAAAAAAGAAGCAACCAACAATCATAAAAGCAGAGAGAGCTTAAAAGCCTTTATCAAGGTGGATTCATTAACAGTAGCAAGTCGGAACAAGCAGACTTGACCAACTACCGGAATGCTTCAAAACTTTGCGCTTAGAGTTAAATTGTGAAAATAACCACGGGGACTTTTTAGGTTTTCTCACGAGAAGGTTAATCAGAGGGGGAGATGAAGAGAAGGTGATATTGATTGTAAAGCGAATTAAGAAAGTTGGTAGGAGGAAATCTTACATGATTGAATTTGATCTGAAGATGAGTGGTTAATCAACCTATGTATAGGTCTTGAATGTGAGAAACTTTGGACCACTAGGAGTCGGGGCCGCTGCTCTCAAGAGTGCATCTTTCTTTTAACAGAGGACAACGATAAACCTCCAGAGATTTTAGTTTGGTGAGACTTCTCATGGCATCCTCAGAGGGTAAATGTCGAAGCTCTTTGAAATCATATAAATACAGGTATTCAAGAGCAACGAAGTTTCCGAACCAATCTGGCAGAGCTTTTATACCTCCGAAGTTACTTAGCGATAGTGACGTGAGATTGGTCAAGTATTGGATCTGATGTGGCAGGGACTCCATGTGTGGCAACCCAACTAATCCTAATTCACGGAGTGCGGATGACGAAGGGGAGGAGGAGGAGGATATCAATCCACACCAATCAAACTCATTGTAAATTGAAGAATTTTCATGATCATCACCATCATCTGAGAAGGGACCAATTGCAAGCTCCCTTAAGCTGGTTAGAAAACCAAATCCTTTGGGCGTCATGCTTGTTTTCAATTTGGGACACCTGTATAATTCCAGCTTCAAGAGAGAAGGCGTTTGTTGCAAATCAAGCAGAAAGGAGACAAGATTGCCGCACCAACTCACCTGAAGCTTCTGGAGAGAGGCACAAGAGTGTAGCAAGTCACCGGGCAGATTCATCAACCCATCGCACTCATCAATCACCAGCTCTTTAAGAGACGTAAAGTTTTGCAAGGGAAGGAGTTCTCTGCATCTGTGGCAGCGATTAAACTCCAAACTCGTTAACTTGGGGAGTGTTGTTGCAAACTCAGGGAGTGTTGTTGTTGTTGTCAAATCCATTAACCATCGAGGAAATTGATCGTCCAGAAAATACCAAATTACCAACTCCTCCAAATTCGGGTGGGGTTGAAGGCCATCCAACACATCTTTGTCGATGTAGTCGTGGCCTTCTCGATCCTGGGCCCACTTAAGTTGCAGCCTAAATAGATTTGCCTTTTCAAATAGTTTTGCTTCCTCAGCTCCTTCCTTATCCATTACTAGTTCCAGATTGCGTATCTCCAATTTGCCTTTGAGGTTCTTCAAGCTTCCAAGCTCTCCAATGCGTCGACCCTTCTCTCGACCCACGTTAAAGAACTCAAGTGTCTGAAGGCAAGTCAGCCGTCCCATATTCAGCGGCATTTGAAATTCTGTATCAAAGGTGTAAAAGTGGAGATGTCTCAAGCTAATCAAATTGCACATCCCCTCTGGAAGAACTTTAACATTTGAGTTACTTAGCGTCAATGTTTGCAGATTGTAAAGCTTGCAAAGGGAGTCCGACAAAATACTGATTGGAGAATACAAAAGGTTAACATACCGCAAATGTATCAAGTTGCCAATTGAAATTGGTAATTTTCCAACTGTTGCAACCAAAACATACAAGTTCTTCAACTTCATTAACATATCACCAGAAAAGTAATAATTTACAAACAATGTATGAAGCGAAGTTGATAGACTCTCCAAAAATTTTTCTGTATCTTCTTCAACACCAAATGAGTCTATTGTAAGGTAACGAATCTGATTACCATTGTCTACTGTATGTGTATCCCTATCAATAATGACTTTGGTAGACTTTGACATTGACCCTGCAAGGTCGTGCACCAAATCATGCATCCTATAAGATGTTATCAACCGATCAGTTATTTCTTCCAACAATGAACTCTGCAATAAAATTCTCAAATAATTCATTCCAATTTCCTCCATCGTTTGGTTTTTGACGTCTGCTTGGAGGAAACCTTCTGCCATCCAAAGTTCGATAAGCATATTCCTTTTTATCTGACTATCCTTATGAAATATAGACCAATGTGCAAAACATTTCTTAATGTTTCGAGATGGCAAATTATCAAAACTCAACTTAAGTATTTGCATCACACCATCCTCACCTGCACTCAAACTCGAAAGCCTATTCTCCAAAATTGATCGCCACTCCTCTTTTCTCTTTAAAGATAACAGACCTCCAATTACACTTGCAGCCAACGGTAGACCATCACATCTTTTGATTACTCTCTCTTTAATTGCTTTTAGTTCATCAGGTTCTTCTTCCCCTCCAACTACTTTTTCTTTTATGATAGACCAACAATGATCATCAGGTAGTCTTCCTAAGGCATAGACTAATTCAGTTTCCATCATCAAAACTCTAGACACACTATGTGCCACTGGACCTAAACGAGTAGTGACCAGACACCAACTTCCATTAATTGGATTGAGCCCCTTCAAGATGGTGAAAAAGTCATTCCACAATACCTGATTATCATCCCACACATCATCAAGGACTAGGAAATATCTTTTTCCCCCTAGGTGATTCCCAATTTTTCCAACGATGAGATTCCTATCATCTACTTCAACCTTTTCTTCCGTCAATTGCACTAATATGAGTTTGAAAAGCTCCTCTATTTGAACTTGTCTTGATACACAAACCCAAATTTTTTTGTTAAAGTGTTCATCAATTTGCTTGTTGTTGTATATGGATTTAGCCAAAGTTGTTTTGCCTAAACCTCCCATACCAGTTATGGGAAGAACAGAAACAACCTTCTCAGACAGGCTCAACAAAATCTTCACTATCTCTGATTCATCATCGGCTCTTCCAACCATTGGAGCAACAACAGAGTCGGTCTGCCGACTTCTCGTGTCTCCAACAGCAGGAGCAGCAGGGAGGGCAGTTGTCATGACTGCCCTACTGACCAGTCCCAATCCATGGGCATCTTGATAGATGCCATTCAACTTAAGTTTGATGTCCCTGACCTTAGAAGCCATTCTCCAACGAAAAGCAAGATTAATATTAGAGCAGGAGAAGAAGCAGCATACCTTGAGCTTGTGTCGGTTTCGGGACTCCACCTGGTGACGAAGAGATTCATAGTGGAGCTCATCCAACACATTGTCAGCATCATAAGCAACCTCCTCGAGACTATTCAACCATCGTTGCACTCCGCTGCTTTGGTTTTGCCTTTCCTCAGCATCAGCCAGGACATCTTTGATAAAGCGGAGAGAACGTGTCATGCCGGCCACATCCTTCTTGAACCCAACTAGCAAACCAATCCTAGTAGAGGCAAGAGACAGTGCCCTTTCCAAGGTGACCTGAATTGTGGAGCTGATAAGAGCGTCAGCCATTTTTTTTTTTTTAATAAATGACTTGGATTCAGTCTTGAGATCAAGATGGTTTTTTAAAATGGGAGGTTTTAGCAGCCAGAAATTGGTAATGTTACAAGTGGTTAAAAGGAGAAGAGCATTGATATTTGGTCCGCTTAACAATGCAGAGTTATTCTTAACTTGGATGCCTTCGTTCGCAAAGGAAATATATATTCCGTGCATGGCATCTTCACTTTAAGTTTCTTGGATGCTTTGAAATGCTGAGTTATTCTTAACTTGGATGCCTTCGTTCGCAAAGGAAATATATATTCCTTGCTTGGCATCTTCACTTTAAATTTCTTGGATGCTTTGAAATGGAAATTCCTGGATGGGATTTTCACTTTAACTTTCTTGCTGGGACGGGGCCTTCATCTTTATTCGTTAATCCTTGAAAGATGAACTAATTAGAACATAATTTCGTTACACCTTATCCTGTTAGCTTCCACACTAACTCTGTTGGATTTTGCTTCTTAGCTAGAGACATAATTTGTGTCTCAATACAAAAATCAATTAGGCTTCTAATTATTTTGTAATTCAGAATCTGATATCGTTGAGCATTGAGCCTTTTCAACTTTGCATAATTCCTTGCTTGTGTTAATACCTGTGGCTGTGGTGGATGAACTTTGGCAAAGAATAACTTGAAATGTGGATTTGCTTCAAACTTATATTCTGAAATGAAGTTCGGCAATTAATAGAGGCCTAAACAATTATTCAGCCTTACTACTTTACAAAATTTATCTAAAAAATTCAACCACAGTGTGATGGTGATTTATAGATTGATTATCACATAAACAAACCAACTCATGCTTGTAATGCATATAAATGATATTTAACCAAAACATTTGAATTGAAGATAAAGAAAAAAATTTTTGAACTTCATTAGAATCGGGAGGTAACATTTATGTCCTCCTCCATCTTATACTTATTTTCAAGTGACTTAATAAATTTTAACTTTTATTTGGAAAAAAAATTTAAGGAGTACAATTACCCTAATCAGTGAGAAATTTCAAGTGGCATGGCATAGATGTTAAAAATAAATTTCAACCTGTTGATCTTGATCCCTATCTTTTGATGTTTACAAAACAAATGGATGATACTAATATTTCTTCAAGATATACTTTCAGTTTTGAAGTTGTTTGATTCCATGAACAAGTGCAATTGAAAGGCAAAGTTTGCTGAAGCTGTCGGACGTTCAAGAAGTCAGGATCGGACGTCCGAAAGGATGAAGAACATCAAGAAGGAAACTCTGTCGGACGCTCGTGAGGAAGCATCGGACGTCCGGAAGTATCGGACGCACGCCTCGGACGCACATCGATCGCATCGGACGTCCGAGAAATTTCGCAAAGATTTGATGACTCTCTGACGACGCTCGGACGCAGGGTTCGGACGTCCGACAGGTGGTTTGGACGCAGGGTTCGGACGTCCGACAGGTGGTTCGGACGTCCGACAGGCCAACGGCTAGTTTTGACAGCATTTAATATTTGACCGTTGGAGAGCCTTTTGGAGCCATTTCTCACCTTCTATAAACACCCCAAAGCACAAGAAGACAATGGACTTTTGCCAACACAAAATACAAGCTTACAAGTGAGATTTTTGAGTAGAAAGATTCTTTGTTGGTTGTATAAGGGGTTGGGGAAGTTGGGTTGTGAGGTTGCTCAAGTGAAGGTTACTCTCTAGGAGGAGTAAAACCTTGGTGAAGGTGAACCTATCACTTGAAGTGGTAAAACCTTGGTGAAGGTTGCCTCATTTGTATAAAATAGTTCTTAATTGGGTGAGTGATCTTTCAAGTGTAGGTTGTTGAGGGTTAACTAGAATAGTTGTAAAACTCCTTGGCTCAACCAAAGAGTGTTTGGGGTGAGGAAGGAGTGAGCCTTCACTTGTACATCTTGGTTAGCATCGCCATCTATTGAAGAGGCTATTGGATTGATATTTGGTTTGCATTTCTTATCTTTTCTCTTTAATTAAGTTTTCTTTATTGTGCTTAAATTTGATATATCTTTGTGCATCATTGTGAAATTGTTTGTACTCATTGGGTTGTACCAGGCCTTACACAACCAAGATAAGTAAGTGCTCTGTACAACAAATCCTTCAGAAATAAATATTTACTGTACTCTCAACTTGGGCATACCTGCAACTTGCCACCCTGCGCAAGCATGGTGAACATCTCCTAGTTTAATAAGATCAGATTAGAAAGATTGTTTTGTGGAACTACACAAAATAATACGATACATAATTATATCTCTCACAATCATTTGTTTAGGAAGATTGTAATCATGTAGGACTCAAACAGAAGCATTAGAAAAATTAGATTAGATGACCAGTATGAGGAAGGGTATTTTAAGCATTGCAAAAAAAAAAAAGGAAGAAATACCATTATATATAGCTCCAGTCCTTAAAGTTTTGACAAAAACAAATTTAGTCCTCAATGTGCAGCACATGCACAATTGTAGTCCCTAAAGTTTTTATAAGAACAACTCTGGTCTCTAATGTATCCAATATAAATTAGATTTAGCATAAATGAATATTTTTACATTACTGACAAAATTTAAATATAACAATAAAGAAAAAATAGTGGCTAACTTTAAACTACAATATTAAGGACTAATGACTCACGTGCTAACTAATTAATTGGTTAAAAATATTGTCAAAGTACAAAACTCAAACTAGTCAGAGCATTTAATTCATCAATTTAGAACTCATTTTCTTTATCTATCCCTACCGACCCTCAGGAAAAAAAAAGAAAAGAAAAGCCCCAACACTTGGTTTTTGTGCATAATTAAATAAATTTCCTTTTTTCCTATTTTCTTGGTTAATTAATAACTCACGTGTCATCACATGAGTTGCTCTTGCTGTTTAAGGTTATCCGTTGATTTGCTTCTTTCTTACAAAATTAATTTAAAGTACACATGCATGACTGAACATTATTAGGTTCCATTAGTAATTAAAAAATGTTAGTCAATTGTCGTAAATTTGCTTAAATTCAGAAACTATTTGGAACCAAAATTATTTTTGATCAAAATTTTTGCCAAAAATTGAGGACCATACTTTTTTTTTTTTTTTTGCTAAAACTTTAGAACTAAAACAGTACAAGTGCAAAACACTAAGGACAAAAACTACATTTTTTTTTTTGAAAAATTAAAAGAAACTTCGGAAAACTGGGAAATGAATATCAGTAGTAGGAAGAGGTGAGATTTAAGTAACTAAAGTTTTGAACCTAGATGAACATCCAATTCCTATCATTTCAACCTTAACTAATTGTCCAAGGCCTATTCTGCGCATAAGGGCTCATCTCATGAAGAAAAAGCCAAATTATTAAATGCCAAAAAGAAAGAGGAGCCGTGCAAGACTGGTGTAGTTGTTTATTTTTGGACACTTTTGAGTAGGGGTGTGCAAAGTCGAAAAATTTCGATTTCGAATTGAATTCGGAAGTTCGGTAATTCGGAAGTGAATTCGGTAATTCCGATTTCGAATATGTCGAAATCGGATCGAATTCGAAAATAAGAATTTTGAAATCGGAATTACCGAATTCGAATTGGGAATTCGAAATAGGAATTCGAAATTGGAAATTCGATATCGAATTCGAATTAATATAATTAATATATTATATTCGAATTATATATATATACATATATATTATATAACATAAAATAAGTTAATAACTGAAATTAAAATTGAAACCCAAAAACCCTACTCTTTTCAGTTTTCACTTACTCACGCCAGTCACCTTGGCTCTTCCGCCGCCCTCTTCCTCATCGCCTCTTCCTCCGACTCAGCTTACTCTCTCACTCTCTCAGTTTCACCTTCATATTTCTCCCCTTCTTCAAGCCCGACAGAGACATAAAGTGTTGGCACACGTTCTTCTCTACGAGACTCCCTCGGCATCTGGATTCTGGAAGATACCTCTGCACCGACTGCCGAGAGCGTTCTTCATCGTGGTGAAGTGGTTGAAATCTTGGCCAAACTCTTTCCAAAGTATCTGATTCCAACAAAGTAAGTTCACTTGCTCAATCATTCTGATTCTAGTCCAATTCACTGTAACATTATTCATTATTTTTAGGTAAAAGTAAAACCCAAAAAAGCGAAAGTGGTAAATCAAATTTATGCTGTAGAAAATTGATGAGCCCACAAATTAATTTGGTGGCCGTTTGACTAATGTTAAGTGAAATGGTTTACACCTAAGATTTTTTTTCACTAGTTCGAATTATTCTTTTGAATATGCAGAAATTTAGCTCTTAAAAAAACTTAAATAAGTTCTTGAAAGTAGGTAATCTGGACACGATACCTGAAAAGTGTGCCCAGATATGATTTGGGAGTGTTGGGAGGTTAACTAAGGTAGCGGAGGTCCGAGGAGAATTGAGACTTGGAAGGTATAAGTGTCCTGTAGTGTAGTGTTGGTAAAAGTTGTATTATACAAGAAGTATGGTCCAGATATGATTGAAGCTTCATTTCGACACCTTGCTGTTTCTTTAAGTTGTCAGCTGTGAAAATCTTATCAACATACTTTTTGCACCAAGAAGCAATTTGTCACACGGTGTGGTGTTGATTAATTTGCCAAGTTTTTTATGCTTGTTGTAATATAAATGCAAAGGCAAAAGTACAAACATGACTGGGTGCAAAGGATTCCTCTTTTTTTTTTCTTTTTTTTTGGGGGTTTTGTTTATCCTGTTGACCATGGCACATCTTGTATCTGGTAGTTATGGTACCATACACTTATAAGAGGTGCTTGGCAAAAAGAAACGGGAGAGAGTGTGTTAGTTAAAAAATGTAAAAACATCCTCTATGACTATAAATCCTTTATATAAAATAACTTTTTTTCTTGAAAAGCATTTATCTGCATTGATTTCACTATTTTGATGAGGTTCAGCTGAAGATATTTTAGTTGTATACTGAATTTATAAATCGCAAAACTTTATATTTGCTGCTATGTTTGGCTCCATCTTCTTACTTTCTATGCTAAATTGGAAACAAGTTCTCCAGGAAAC